GTTCAGCAGCGGTTACGCTGCTCAGAGCCAAACAGCATTCACACAAGACCCAGATTGTTTTGCGGATAAGGAGATGCCTACAGAAAGGGAGCCCTGTTGAAGGAAAAAATGAGGCGATGTCTGCTCAGAGCGCCACCAGGACATAGTTTCTGCGGGAAATTCCTCTCCGTAGAGCAATCTGTCAAAGGAGAGCCAACGCGTCCCGCCGCAGGGAGCAGCGCGAGGGCACAGGCCTGGCCGAGGCCGCCGTGGTGCTTGCAGGAGGAGCCGGTGCTGCATTGCTACAGGACGTCGCGCCAGCTCTCCGCAGGGGGAGCAGCTGGAGCGAGCTGGATCGATTCACGTTACCCACAGACGTTTCACAAGGCAGCTCATGCCAGGATGGCTGCGGATTCTGAAATATGCTGCTTTTCCCTCTACCCCTTCCTCCTTTCTTCTCCCTTTGGAAGTAACACCCACGTTTTTTAATCACCTATTTCGTGGAGGGCAGGCAATAAACCGAATCCTTACTAAGGCAAGCAATGAGGCCAGAGGCACAAATCCTGCTAAGGGTTGCCCTTAGCTCTGGCCAAAGGAGAAGTCAAGCACCGCACCAAGAGATTTGTTTCGGGAGGCATTAAGACACTCTGAAAGTTTTGCTGCCCTTCCCACCACTGTCTCTGCTCACCGCGTGTGCGAGGGGGGAGCATTCGCTGATCCTGTAAGTGCTTGGAGTGATGTGCAATCATCAGGGCCTCTCTAAAGCAGAATTAAAACATTTGCAATCCGGATGGGGAAACAGCGTCCCAGCCCTATGACATGCCTCAGCTGCACGGCCATCTTCAGATGCTTGGTCACTTAGCTAATTCAGCATCACGGTCTAATACACCCGAGGGTATCGTACACGCACCACAGCAACATACCTGGACACCCACGAGAGCTCTGGAGGGGATTTGGACAGGAAAACACCTGCACCGCTTGGTGCTCCAGAAATCCTGTGCTACGCTACAGCCCGGGAACCCACCGAAAACCCGCAAGAGGCTGTGAACAAGGACGGGGCTGCTCTCCGTCTCAGCTGCGTTCAGGGGAACAAGCTTTTGTTCTGCACTGCAGCAAAGAAACATCTGATGCAAATCCTCTGATCCTCCTCTTGCCAGGAAAGGGCTTACCTACTGCCCCGGGGGGGCCACGGGATGAACCGCCATGCTTCTCCTGCCCTTCCCAAGGCGCGCTGCACCTTTTGTTTTCGCTTTAAGCGGGGGAGGGCAGGAGCACTGGGGGATCCTGCTGGACCGGGGGCCGCCCCGCCAGAGTCGGGACAGCTCGTTCGGAAGCTCAGCTGCGTGATCTCCGCTCCCAGATCTCGAGCAGATTACAGTTAGCGCTACGGCTCTACACAGTCTGCGTTATTAAGCAACTCTGTACTATGGTGACAGTATCTATGGAAATGCAACTCCAGGAGTAAATGTGGATCGGCGGAGACTTTCCTAAGGCACCGCAAAACCTGATGTTTTCCAGGACGCTGCACAGTGTTGGGGTAGCCCCAACTTGTCACCTTAAAAGGGCTTTGGCTCTTCCTCCGTTTTGAAAAGTCCTGGTCTTGTTTGGGTGACACACACACAAAAAGAGACGGCCATCAGTAACAGTGAACGCCTAGGACTTTGGGTTTTGCACTGTGGGAAATTCAAGATTGTCCTCTTTGTAGAACTAGAACTTTAAAACTTAAGATACCAACAGGACAGGAAAAAAAAAAAAACAGAATGACCAACAATCCTTGAAAAAATATTAAAAGATTGTTAGAAAAATATTTATTTTTTATAAATACACTTCTCAATTCATCACAAAACATGAAAGGAATCACAAAACTTTACTTACAGGAAAATAAGATCTTACAGCTCGATTTATAAAAGTTAATGAGAAATGAATGACTTCCAGTGTTAGATTTCTGTAAACCATATAAATAATCATGCCACTGATTTATAGGAATGCAATGAAGAATTTGTCCTTTAAAAGTATTAGAATTGATACCAGTAATCACTTAGGGCAGAAACTGAGTGTATGACGTTATTGTATGGACTTGCTTTTGCAGAGAAAGGTTAATACACAAGCTCTCAGCAAGGTGCTTTCACCTTCTATTAATAGCTTTTACAAAATAAAAATAGCACTGCTTCCCTGGCCTACAGCCCAGTGGATTTCTATCATCCTTCTTCATCAGATTTGTTGTAGTTTCACCCTTCTCGCCATCCGCAATCTCTCTCTTGTAAGTCACAAATTTTATATATTTCAAAATATTTTTCATTTGGCAAATGCTAAGTATTAAGGAGCTTAAAAGGAATGTCTGTGGGAAAAAAATACACAGTTCTAAAAAAAGCCCACCCCAGACAAATATGTTCACCGAAGAAAATGCACGTGTAAGTTTTAACTGGATTTTTACAAAATGTAGGATGAATTTTGGGGTGACCCGCTAGAGACCTCCCAAATGAATCCTATTTGCAGCTGAAAAAGAACAGCTAGAAGAAGAAAACCACCATGCTTGTTGAAAAATCTCTCTAAAATCACTGGTTATTTCAAAAGGTGCCAGCCCAGTATTAAAAAGCCAGTGTGCAGAAACAAGAAAATGCCAGTGCCACAGTCATTTATAAAGTGGAAATAAATTCTGCCAATCATTACAATATGTTTATTTTCATGTAGGTCCATTTTGCAGTAAAACTTGTTCCCTCACAGCAAATACACAAGAACTGGAATGCAGCTAATATGGTTATTTTTGTTTAAAGAAGAAAAATGATGTTTGAATTTATGGACATACCAGACCTAAAACATCTTTCTCTGCACAGCTGTTTCAGCCACTGTGGTGTATTTTGGAACCGGTGTTTGCTAGCACGTGTCTACAAGAAGAAGAGTTATTCCAGAGAGCTGGTTCCAGTTAACTCCTCAGGCGGATGCTGTTATTCCAGACTCCACTGCCATCATATTCCCTTGACAGGCAAGTTCTGCACCCAGGAACCTGCAGTGCTCACTTTCCTCCCCGCTTTTCTATGATATTCTCTTCCCCTGCGATTTATTTTCACTCTTTGATGTTTGTGCTGGTAGTTAAGCCTGACTGCAACTATAAAACAGCAAACTCTAGTTCGCGAACACCCAAAAAATTGGACAACCAACCATCCCAGTCATCAGATAAGACCAGCTCCTGTGCATCTGAGCTTTTGAAAGAGCTGCACCACGGTAACTTCCCTGCTTTCCCACGTGAAAGCAGAGTGATGTGCATCACTGCAATTCATCTCAGCCTAGTCAAAAGCAGTAGGTAAAACGCAGCTTTTCCTGATAATTTTTTGGGGGGGAGGGGGGCCCCATCAAAACTCACAGCTAGTCCCTGAGAATTTGGCCTTTTCCTGCTGCACATAGCCACAGCAAACCCCTGAACAGGGCAAGACTTGAGGCCGGTGCCTATCTCCCAGCTGTCCAAGGCTGCTCCTTCCTCCCTTCCCTCTCCTGCAGACTTTCAGGCCTGTGAGGAGTCACCAGACCCCCAAGCCCGAGTCCTGAGGATCCCACTTTCCCTGCCTGAGGCTGCAGGGCTGTGCGGGGTGCCCTAACCTGTCACAGCCTTGGACCAGCAGAGCTAAAAGAATTGCACACAATTTGCTGCTGCTGTGTGTGGTCGGGGCGCCATCTCGCGGGCTCCGGGTCCCTGCGTCACCCTGAGCCATGCCACATCCACCCCGGCCACCCGCGCGTGGCTACTTCTCTGTGGAAACATGGCCAGCATTCACAGAAAGAAGGGAGAAACCTCTTTGGAAGTGGACTCCTCTCCTGGGCGGAATCATCTTTGCTGGGAGCCAGTACCACGTCCACGCTCCAGCTTCCCGCCACAGACCTGTCCCTTCCCGGTGCCTCCCCAGGTGAGAGTGTTTGTCTTTAGCCTCCACATGGATCTACAGCCCAGATTCTCCCGATCTGTACTGTCTTGATTTCCTTACTAAAAGCAGCACCCTGGCACGCTGTGCTAAACTACCTACTAGAGAAGGTCACAGAGCATTTGGGAATGTCATGAAAGCACACAGACACCCAACGCGTGACAGCATCCTGCGGAACGTAAAAATTCGCAAGAGGAGAGCGGGGTGTCTCAGTAGGACTGGCTGTCTCCAAACCTCCTTCCCGTGAGCACTATACATTTCAAAACCTCTTACGTTGCCCTATCTACACCACGATGCAACTCACTCGTTCTGTGTGCCCCAGGGACATGTAGGGAAGAGAAAGACAGTGTCCTCGAGCTCAAATTCCATCACCACCATCCCCAAACACCATAACTACCTTAATGTGTGTTGTAATGAGGGATACATGGATATGTTATTAAGCTGCCTCCCGTAGAAATTTTGTAAGCCGCTAAATGACACTGGAAGATTCAGTTCTGAGTACAGAGAAAAAATGGTTCAGAGAACGAGAGACAGGATGACGGTTAAGGAGAACGCTATTCCGCTGCTAGCTAAAGCCAACAACTCCTCCAAACACCAAGATTTTTCCTCAGTAATTATTGTGCTGAGGCAAATGACAGCTCTGTGAACTGCCATACTGCTCGCGCTGTTGCCATTATTCTAAGAGCCTAGAAAGCAATGTGGTTTCCCTCTCCATCCCCCATGGTACCAGCTATCCACTTAAGGAAAGCAGCAAATTACTGCTGATAGACCTAGCCTCTGCTGCTGGGCAATTTATAAAGACTCAGGACTGCAGTGAGCTCACAAATCGTTGCCAGTATTTAGGGGCCACACGCGACCAAAGTGAGCGGGTGTCTATGCTTCCAGGAGGGCACAGCCGTGGTCAGTGGCTGGCTGACACCAAGGTGGGTTGCACAGACAGGACTACGGACCCGGGTGTGCAGAACTGTGATTTTACTGTGGGAACGACTCAGCCCCAGGCAGACTGAGCAGATCAGAAGATGGACAGTATTGTTACTGTCTTCTAACCTGAGAATTGTTAAAAAAAAAAAAAAAGGCACTTAATTTAACAAGTCTCCCATTGTGCCTGCGAGGTAGCTCAAGGTTAGAACCGCAAAGCCGTGACAGGGAAACTGAGGCACTTCAAGGTGAGGTAATTTGTCCAAAGTCACAGTCAGAGTCACTAGCAGAGCTAGAAATGCCGCACTGAGCTCTTGGCTCCTTTTTGGCTCTGAACACTGAGCTGAGCTCCTTTCTGGGCTCAAATGTCAGCGGCACCGCAAGCCCTGGATTTCCCAGGTTAGAAGAGTCTGTCAGAGACAGAGCTGCTGCTGGCCACAGAGGAACAGGGATGCTGTGCTGGAAAATGCAGGCTCTGAGAGCCAGGCAGACAAGGGAGGAGGGACACCAGCAAGCCTTCACCCAAGCAGAGCTTCATAATCCACATACCACACCAGCCGGCCAGAGCTGGGTCTGACACCTGAGATAGGCCATTTACTTGGCTCATGGCCCACTCTGCTGATCAGGCTGGTGATGTCGTGCTTGCCCTTCCCCAAAACCAGGACAAACACCTGCCTGGCCTTGTTGATGAGGGGTAGGCTGACGCTCATTCTCTGGTGAGGTTTGACAGGGCTTTCCGTTAGTACCACAATCCGGGCCCCTTCCAAGCCATTTTCAGAGTGGGGGAAGAGTGAGGCAGTGTGCCCGTCAGTGCCCATCCCCAGCAGCACCAGGTCAAAGCTGGTGTTGGCCACCAGGGCTGTGATCTCCTTGGCATACAGCTCCGTACCTCTGTCCTCTTCCACACAGAGCCGCTGGTTCAGATGCACGGGCATGGGGTGGACATTGAAGTAGGGCACCCTGACGCTCTGGAGGAGGTGGTTGTGCAAACTGAAGAAGTTGGACTCAGGATCGGTGAGCGGGACACAGCGTTCATCCACCAGCCAGACGTGGGTGTGCCTCCATGGGAAGGCGTAATGGTGCCTTGCCAGCCGCTGGAACAGGACCACCGGGCTTGAGCCTCCCGAGAGGGCCAGGTGGAACTGCCCAGAGCGTGCCACAGCCTGGCCAGCTGCCCTCTCGATGTCAGAAGCCAGCTGGGAAATCAGCTCCTCGGACCATGCTGAGACCAGAGGGCTCTGCCGAAATTTGGACTGGATCATTTTGTAATCGCTCGGTGTTGGCCTGTCAGGATGCAGCAGTTCTACCGGCTCTGTCAGTGCAAATGCCAGTTCCTCCCCAACCATTTCAAAGTCTAAGAGATGCTGGTTCTCCACGCCGCCAGGGTAGAGGCGCGGCGGCTGGTGGGATATACTGTCCAGCAGCGGTGTCCAGAACTCCCAGGATGCCAGCAGGTTCTCGGTGGTGATGAAGAAATCCTTCCTGCCGTGGTAGATGCTGGAGATGAGGACAGAATACGCATCTCTCTCTTTCACAGGGTTGTACACATAGTAATCAGACAGTGATTGTCCAAAAATGCGCAGCTCTGGCTGAACCGCTGCTTCTCTCCAGCTGCCTTCTGGCATGATGGGCTTGAAAAGGTTCCGGCTCACAAGCACCGCAGGAGTGTTGAGGGTGCCATGCCCAATGTAGAAGATGATCTGCTTGGCTTTACACTGGCTATGCCCTGCATCCCTCAGGGTCTCGCTCTGGGTGCAGTAGGCCCGGTTCTTGAAGAGAACGCGGACGTAACCTACTCGCTCGTCTAGAGCCTTCCCAGAAGTGAGGAGGAAAGGGACCCCTTCCCAACGCAGGCTGTCGCTGTGAATCAGCACACCTGAAATGACACAGTGATCTCAGCTACAGAATAAAACCTGGAGTCTGAACAACATGCAGACTTGAGGGGATCTAAATTGGCTGCTTATCATTCTCCTTCCTTGGTTCCTAGAAATCCTGGCATCCACAGGGTCTCTTGCTCCACATTTAGCCCTTTCATGACCTCACTAGACAAACTACTTTGCTTCCTCTCAGGTATCCTACTTGTTTAACCTCCTTTCCTCTTGCTTCTGAGCACGAAGATCATTCAGCCAAAACCTTTGCCGTTCAGAAAACACAGCATGGCCATAGGTGGCCATGCGGTCTGTTAGCTACAGAGAACGCCCAAAGCTTTTACTCTTCAGATGCAGAGAGCAACTAGTCTTTATGAAAAGGCAAGGGAGTTTACAGGCCACTCCTCAAAATAACGCACAGATCTTGGTAAGAATAACGTGACTTAGCCCTTACACAGTGCTTCCAATTGGTGGGATCATTAATTAACGAACATGACAACATTACTGTGTTGCTACAGCTCCCGGTCACCATGCTGGTAGATGCCTGGAGACATCCCTGTGTCAGCAGTGAGTTCAGAGTCACGGAGCTTGTATCAGAACCAGGGACTCCCATCTCCTGCACTCCTCAGCTCTAGACTACTCTGCTCTCCACAGCCTGGACTAAACTCTCACCTGCAAAGGTTGGTGTTGTGCTGACGTAATCCTGTGCCTTCTGCAGTTCCTCCCGCACTTGGCTGGCGTAGGCCTCATACTGACCCACCACAACGCTGTTTTTCTCCAGGCCCCGCAGGGACTGGAAGGCCTGCAGCTTGCGCTGCAAAACCTCTTCAGCACAGCTCAGGTTGGCTGGGAGCTCCATGGTCAGGTACATCAGGGCCTCGGTCAGGTGGTTCTGCAGCACATCCCGGATGACACCATACTGCTCGTAGAAGCTGGTGCGGCCTGAGGACAAAGAGGAGGTGAGATACTGGTAACGGGTAGCACTTTTCTTGCAGCCCTTTTCTCTGCGTGTATAACGTGCCAAGGAGAGCAAGGACAAGACCAAAGCAGTTTGCCTCTCCTCCTCTGTTGACTCAACAATTAATTTGAGGCCATCAAACCTTTTCAGTCCCTGCAGAGGGGGTTCCAAATGTCTCTGCTACTAAAATAAAGAAAAAGGATTCCCAAGAGACTGCCTGTCCTTCATGGAACAAGGCACATTCCTCCTTCTGGGCGCTAGCAGCTCGTAAAACCAGCAGGAGTCACGTTCTAGCCTGATACTTCCCGAGTTCATAGGAGAGAAGGCAGTTTTGCTTCCTCCAGCTGCTTGTGCCTTCAAGAAGGTGCACTCAGCAACTGGATCAATATTCAGCCCAAACCTCCCCCGTACAGAGTGGTGCAGGACCTCTGTGTAACCCCCACCCTGATACTCCAGTCCCACAGCCCAGGACTGTGGCCTGGGACTTCACACAGTGTGCAGCTCTACGCAAAAGCTTTGACAGAGCAGAAAGAGCAGGGCAAGAGCAGGGGCCCAGTACTCCTGTAGCTACAAACCAGAGCTGCAGAACAGCCTGGAGCTGAGCCCTGGCAATGAGCACTGCTCTTCACCATGCACTGCCTCTTCCCCGTCTTCAGAAGGCTCTGAAGAGCCTTCTGCTCTTCTGCTTCTTCTCCTGCTTCTCTCTCCCTGCTTGACTTCTCACTGGGATGGCAAGAAGGGGAGAAGGAGAGTGTACTTATAAAGAAAGTGACTCAGATGCCTTTCCTTAGTCCACTAGCAGCAGGCTGCACACTGCAGACTACATCATGACCATAGGCTTCCCCTATCGATCGATACATTTATCTCCCTTGCTCTAATCCAAAGGCACGTTCATTAATGTAATCAATGCTGCAGACTTGCTGGGAGCCAAGCTGCCAGCTGAAGCCGCGCAGGAGAAAAAAGACATCAAATGAAAAATTACGAAATTTTTCAGAGAGGGGAGGGTACAGGGTGTAGCTGGGGCTACACACAGACTGCACTGTTCTCCCTAAACCTCCCTGCAGTGCTTTCTTCCTCCAGGAATGGGCCTGGCTGAGGTCTGGGCTGCCAAGCCAAGGATTGCTCAAAGCTTAATAAAGCTTGCATTAGTTGATATCGAGTTGGTGGTGGTTGGGGGGTGGGAGGAAAGAGGAAGGTAGAAGAGGAGGTAAATGGAGTAGAGAAGCAATCCTGATGTTGCAGAACTGAGGGCGCCCAACAACCCAAGAACTGCTGTGGGTGGCAGTCCAGCTTTATGCTGAGCACTGCAGAGCGGCTGG